CCGAGTACTCGAGCGAGGCAGCGCTCGTGCAGTAGGGAGGCGACGATGGCGTGGAAGCAGCTGAGGAAACTGATACGGTGCGTGAGACGCAGCTGGTCCGTACGCTCCTCGCAGCTCGACCTCGAGTCGTCGGTGTAAAGAACAAGCTGTCCACGTCGGACTCAGCGTACCAGCTGCTGCTGAAATGCGCCAAATACGATGAGCGGCGTGGTTGCGATTCGCGCGAACGAATTTCTCTCAAGAGCAAGCTGCGCGTTATATCTACTCGTAGCTGCTCTCCGAGTTGATAACGCATCCCGTTTCATAGAGAAGATTCAGGTCAAGCACCTCCGATGATGCAGTTACCGAAGCGCATGGTTTTGTTCTCTTTCAGTTACCGCTCCACCTCTCCTAGACAATTCTACGACGGGCCCTCGAAACGCGTCGCATTTGCGAAATGCCACAATTTCTTGGACGCAAACCAGCACCGTGCGCGTTACAAGCATGTCGAGGCAAGGCAAGGCGCGCTTGGTGATGCAGAGCGAGCAGCAGCAGGAGCATGAGCGAGTGAGGGAGCGGATGCGACGACAGGGGAAGTAACACAAGCAGCGGAAGGATGGGGAAAGGGACGAGTGGAGTGCAAGAGGATAGATGACGGAGCTTTTTGTCGAGAGTCGCAACAGGGCACAGCCTCGAGGCTGAAGCGACAGCTGTCCGGCGAAGCCTCTGCCGTGGCAATGGTGAGTCGGCCACAGCAGCATAACCACCCCATCACCATGCTGCTCCTCTCGCACCTTTTCCGCCCCTCTTCCGCCCCTCGTTCATTCCCTTCAGCTCGCTTCCTCGTGTCTATCTCACTCTTCACATCGCACTTTCGGGCGCCATTCATCTTTCTCGCTTCCTTCGTTCCGCACGTGCTGTCGTGTCGTGCAACGACCTTTACACTCACCACCTCCGCTCACATGCTCAACCTTTGAGATTCTAATGTAAGCGGCCCCACTCCCTGTGATGCGCTTCCCGACTCTCCGCATCCCCACCATACACGTGAGGCTCAAAGGGTAACAGCGCAAGGCTTGAAGCACCGGGCGAAAACAGCTCTCGCTAAGTCCGCTGCCCACATACGTGTCACATTGCTCCTTGCCGTCTGCACACTGACTCAATGCACCTTACTGCCTTCCCTGCAGATGTACCATCTGCCACAAGACTCATGTGCGTGCGCTGTGCCCACCTTTACTATTCACCCCCCGTCCTCTCTCCTCCCCGTTACGCTTCCGCCTTTCCATGCCGCCACGGTTGCAGATGTATGGCGAAGTAGCAACAACAGCAACAGCAGCCGAAGCGCTGGCTGCAGCTGGATGCTGATGTGGTGTGGACTGGGGACAGCAATGGGGCGATCGGAGCTGACAAGTGGCTGGAGAAGGTGCAGCGAAGCTACGTGCTGCCGCAGGTGGGCCAGCAGCGGGGGCAGGCAGGGCCCGTGCAAGGCGAGAATATGGGTGGGGAGACAGGGACAGGAAACAGGTGGCGCGGCTGCTGGTGCTGCTGCTGCTGCTGCTGCTGCTGCTGCTTGTGTCTCTTCATCTGCAGCGACGAGCTGTGTTGCTACCTTACCTCCATACTTTACCCCCTCTTCTTCCCTTCGCTTCCAGTAACCCTGCACTGCAGTTGTGCAACTCTCGTCGCCTGCCTCTTCCCCTCCCCCTTGGTCATTTTCACCCTCACCCTCCGTTTCTCCCTCCTGGTTTCATCGTTCGCTATCAACCCTCATGTTTCCTCCTCCCACTCTCGCTCGCCCTCCCTCCCATCTCCCTTTTCCTCGCCCTCCCGTGTCCTCCTCCCACTCGTGCTTCTCAATCATGTTAACTATCCTTCCCCGTTCCTTCTCGGGCCTCCTTCCCCCCTCCTTTCCCTCCTTTCCCCCTTCCTTTCCCCTTCCTTCCCCCCCTCCTTCCCCCCCTCCTTCCCCCCCTCCTTTCCCCCCTCCTTCCCCCCTCCTTCCCCCATCCTTCCCCCCTCCTTCCCCCCCTCCTTTCCCCCCTCCTTCCCCCCTCCTTCCCCCATCCTTTCCCCCTCCTTCCCCCCCTCCTTCCCCCCCTCCTTTCCCCATTCATTTCCCCTTTCTTTCCCCCTTCCTTTCGACCGTTTTCTGCCTTCTGTTCCGCCCCGCCATCAGTCTCCTCAACAGCACATGCGATACACTTCACATGTGTTACGCCAACGCCACCATGCAAGCCCTCACCCCCCTCCTGCACTTCCTCTCCCACCTCCTCCACCTGCCCACCTCTTGCCCGATTCACCCTCTCTGACACCCGCCACCACTGAGCTTCAGCGGCCGGCGTGGCAGCTCCTAGGCCTGCCACGTGGCGGCGGCAGTGGCACCACTGAGGTGAAGACTGATTGCAGAATGAGCTTTACAGTGGGTGACGTGGCAGATGCCAGCGCTGCTAAATAGGCAACAGAGCAACAAGTGAGAGCAGGGCAGGAAGGGCAGGAAGAACAGATGAGTAAGCGGGGTCTGGCGTTCGTGAGCAGGAGATGATGCGAACGGGACAGCAGATGCTGGCAGGGTAACAAGAGAGGGGGCATGGGACGAGTCAAGGCGGCGGAGTGAGGGAGGGAGTGTATGGGGATGCGTTGGAATTGCAGCTTTCACATTGATTGGTGCTTGATTGCCTTGGCTCCGAAGCGGCCATCATCGCTGCCGAGCACTGGGGACGAGAGTAGGTGTGTGGTTGGTTGCCTTTTGCTGTCAACGGTGGGGGTGGTGAGGGAGCATGTGAGGTGTGGAGGGAGAGAGATGGGTGAGCAGGAGTTCCTCCGTCTCTCCGCCTACCCCACCCACGGGCCATACACCTCTCACTGCCTCTGCTGCCTCTGCAGCTCCTACTGCTGCTGCTCTTGCTGCTAATGCCAGTAACCGCTGTGCTTCGCCCGTATCAGCTATCTCCTGCAGCACTTCTTCCAAGTAAACCTGATCACGTTCATCTCATTGATTACTGTGTGTGTACCATATCCCTCATCTATGCAATCTCGTGGCTTGACCTCCTCTCTCGTCTCATCGCCTCCCCCCAAGACATTCACTAATGGGCAGTATTTGCAACGGTAGTTCCTTTGCTGCTGCTATGTCTGCCGCTGATGCTGCTGCTATGTCTGCCGCTGCTGCTGCTGCTATCGCTGCTGCTGATGCTCCTGATCCTCCTCCTGCTGTTGCAGAGGCTACGTCATGTCTTTTTCCCACCATCCCCATCTGAGTACATTACATCTACTACTGCTGTGGCATGAGAAAACAAGAGACCATGAGGATGGAGGAGGGTGGTGGGGAACAGATTTGGCAGTAGCAGCAGCAGCCGCCGCAGCAGCAGCAGCGTGGGTGGCAGCTGAGCTGAAACAGGCCCATCTGGCAGTGGCACCATCGCTGCTCGCTCCCAGACCGTATGCTATTGCTGGATTTTCTCAAATCAAACAGACGTGGCTGGCAGCCAGCTGGTATGCCAGCTGCACATGGAGCAGTCGCAGCAGCAGCACCACCTTATTGGTCAGCACCATGTAGTTTGTACTGCTCAAAAGATGGGGTTGCAATTTCCACAGCCGCACCCACCCACCCCACTGCCTGATTTCCCCCCCTCCACTGCCACCTCCTCTACCTCGGCCTCTCAGGCGCACCTGAGCTGCTTCCTTTTCCATCAAGTGCAGTCCTGTGCTCTGTGAATTATCATTCACGCTACAACCGCTCTCCCTATGCAATAACCCCGAAATGTTTCGCAATCATTGTCCCCCCCTCCGGGTTCTCACAGCTCCCTTTCCTTGATCCAACTCCATCTGATATTGGATCAGGGAGCATGGGTGCATGGGAGCATGCACAATCTGCCAAAGCACTTGCAGCTGAAAGAGTGGTCATGGTACCAGCATGGTGAGTTGGGAGGGGGGGAGAGGACGGGCAAATCAGCAGAGGAGCTGGCCACCGTCCTGGCTGGTCATAACAGGTGTCGCGTAAAATCTTTCAAACCCCCCACGCCCCTCCTTGTTCTTCCTTCTCTTCCCCATTCTCCTCCCCCCAACCCCCTCCCAGCCTCCCTCCATCCTTCTCTCTCCCCTCCCTTTCCATCTAGTATCCTTCCAACACTTACCCCTTGCCATATCCACGCTCTTTGTCTTCTCTCCCTTCCCCATCTCCAAGTTCTTCACTAGCTTAGGACATTGCGTTCATAGCTTGATTTCGGGACAGACTTCACTGGACGGGGAGAAGGCGTTCTGATCCTGTTCTAAGGACGCGTCACAATTGCAACACCGATCCTGTGAAATATCGTGCACAATCTACAGTGACTTCGCCATTTCGCGGAAGCCATGTATCCCGTTTTCGTTTATCCAGTTGCGAAAATCGGGTACCCGCAGATTGTCAAGGTCGGATAGCTCAAACTGCCACATCGATCGTGCGATTTGACAGCGCGGGAATCGAAATCACGCCACCAGTTCCAGCCACGATCGATCGCCGTCGCATACTGTCGGAAATTTTCGTTGTGGTAACTTCGTACCCTGCGTTGTCGCCATCAATTGGGCAAGCAGCTTGCTATTTCTAGCTCGTCACAAGCCATGCGAAATTGTGCGACTCGCACGGCTCCTGCGCTAGCAGCTGGGTGTACAGTTGCAAACCCGGTGTCGTCCCACTTGGCTCGGGGAAGCAGCCAAAACTGCTCCTGCAGATTGAAAGAAGTTTTTCGCAAGTCGATGCACACATTCTCGGTGTTTGGTGCCGATCTCCCCCGGTGTTGCAATTGTGACGCGTCCTAAACCGGGATGCGCTAAACACCCGCCCGTACGCCCACCTAGCTACGACATATTAATATGCAGGGTCCATTGTTCTTGGCCCCCCAAAAGTCCCCGTTCAGGTACCTTGACTCAACGGGCACTTGAATCGCCACAGAAGTGTGACAATAACAAAGGGTCCCTCACACTCACATTCGAACTAGTTTGAGTTCGACCCAAACACTATGGGATTCGAGGCAAACACTTTGCTTTTACGCATGAGCATAAGGGCGAACCTGGTTCGTTCCGGGGCAAACCGGCCCGTTTTATTCCTGGGCCAAACCGTGAAATAAGTAGTCGGCTCGGGCCCGGGCTTAGGCCCGCCCGTCATTTGACGTGCCTTTTTTTGCCCTTTTTGGGAAGAAAAAAGGTTTGACGCAAACTGAACGCATTCGGTTTGACTAAGGCAGGTGTTCGTTTAAGTTCGACACAAGCAGGTCCGTGTTTGCCTTTTGCTCATGTCTAGTCTGTAGCAGCTCCCTCCTCTCACCCGTGCTCATCCTCACAGTTCTCCCCACCTGCCTTCCGGCTATCCGAACCGTAGCACATTTCTACAATTCCATGATTTCTTGCCCCTTCTTGCCATTCACTGTTGCAGAACCCAGCTGTTCCTCCCCATCCCATTTCCTCTTCATCTGCCAGCAATCACCCGTCCATCTGCTGCCCTACCATCTCAGCCAAGCAGCATCACCATATACATGCCCAACATCTCCTGCCACCCTGTTCATCCCGTTCTGCCATGCCTTTCATCTTATTATATCTCCATGCACGAGCCAACTGTCCCTTTCACTCCTAAATCATCCTCCTTTTCCTGACATAGCCTTCCCATCTGCTCCCCACCCTCCTAGCCCAGCAGTGGTGTTGGGACAGCTGTGCACGTGCACCACATTCCATACCCCATCCCATACCCCATTCCATACCCCATCACATACCCCATTCCATACCCCATCCCATACCCCATTCCATACCCCATCCCATACCCCATTCCATACCCCATCCCATACCCCATTCCATACCCCATCCCATACCCCATCCCATACCCCATCCCATACCCCATCCCATACCCCATCCCATACCCCATCCCGTACCCCATCCCGTACCCCATCCCATGCCCCATCCCATACCCCATCCCATACCACATCCCATGCCCCATCCCATACCCCATCCCATACCCCATCCCATACCCCATCCCATACCCCATCCCATACCCCATCCCATACCCCATCCCATACCCCATCCCATACCCCATCCCATACCCCATCCCATACCCCATCCCATACCCAATCCCATACCCCATCCCATACCCCATCCCATACCCCATCCCATACCCCATCCCATACCCCATCCCATACCCCATCCCATACCCCATCCCGTACCACATCCCGTACCCCATCCCGTACCCCATCCCATACCCCATCCCATACCCCATCCCATACCCCATCCCATACCCCATCCCATACCCCATCCTATAACCCATCCCATACCCCATCCTATCCCATACCTCATCGCACACTTCACCTCACCCATATCCTTTCCTCCTGGCTTCCATTTTAGCTGTCGTCTGTTTGATATTATGATCCCATCCTGCCAGGCCTTCATGCCAGCAACACATGTCCCTCTCCCACTCACCCACCCTCTTCCCGCCATCGACCTCCCATCTGCTCCCGACTGTCGCAAGTCGCACTCTCATGCAGCACCGGTCTCCCCATTCCTCCTTCCAAGGGATCCATTGCAGTGAACCTTGGCAGTACTCTAACACTAACATATTTTTTACCCTCGCATTTCCCTTCTTCCCCCCCCACCCTTTAAAGGGGTGCCCCTCCTGCCTTTCAGCTTCCCCAATTTGATTCTACAATCCCATCATGCCTTATCCTTGATCCCATCGTGCCCCTTCCTGTCCCATCTTGCCCCTTACCGTTCATCCTTGTGCTCTTCCCACTATTGATTTCCCGACTTCTCCCTCCACCATCGCAGCAGCACCGTAACCATCGCACCCTCAGGCAGCACCTCTCCCTCCCCCAACAACATCACCCGCACCCGGTCCGCCTACTGTGCGACTTGTGCAATGGTCATTGCTACCTTGTGCCCTTCCACATCGTGGCACCACTCAGCCAAGCAGTGGTCATCGCACCCTCAGGCAGCACCTCTCCCTCCCTTTCACATCACCTACACCACAACTGCCTGCTGTGCTAGTCATGTCTTGGTCTCTCAGCTCTATGCACCTATGTCAGTCATCAACTAAGGGGAAGCAGCTACAGCAGCAGCAACAGCAGCAGCAGCAACAGCCGCAGGGACAGCAGCAGAAGAAGCAGCAGACCCAGCAGCAACAGCAGCAGCAGCAACAGCAGCCGCAGCAGCAACCTCAGGCACCTGCTACAGCAGAGGACAAGGGGGAAAAGAAGAAGAAGAAGCGGTGGTATAAGCCAAAAAACGGAGGAGGCCCCGCAAGGGGCCAGCGCAGCTAACAAGCACAGAGTTGGCACTCCGCTGGTTTGGGAGACTGACCGAGTCACAAGCTAAGACCCGGATCACCAATCACGGAGTGTTCAACTTGAGCTCCCACAGCCTGACACCTGCTGAACGGAGTGTGCTAGGACTCTTACTTACCTCCGCAGCCCACCTGTTTACCTTTGACAGCACCTCTCCCTCCCTTTCACATCACCTACACCACAACTGCCTGCTGTGCTAGTCATGTCTTGGTCTCTCAGCTCTATGCCCCTCTCGCCCTCGTGTTCTTCTAATGTACGTCTCCCTGATACCTCTCACCCTACCCCTTCTTCCTCTTCCTTCAATTCCACACACGGCTCCTAGGAATTCGCCTCCTCTCACGGTGTTTCAGCCTGCTGCAATTCGCGGCAGCTTCATATATAGCAGGTGGCAAAACGTGAAGAGGTAATAAGGCAAACAGGAATGATTGGGTTGGATCTCGAGCGAACAGCAGAATGCGACACATCTGCCTGCCCTTCAGGGTCAGGCTCACCGTTTCCTGCTTCGCGCTTCCTTCCCTTCCATGGCACCCACCCACCCCAACCAACAGTGTGCTCTCAAAATATCCTCTGCATTCAGGATGTTCTCAAGTGTTCCAGCAAGCCACTCCTGTGATATTAGGCACGTTAGATCAATGATATTTGGATTTGGATAATAGAAGTTCTCTTTGGTGTTAATAGAAGTTATGGATTGGTGTATTTTACTGTTGCTCATCCAACAAGTGTTATGTACTCTTTGATCAAACATGGTAAAGAAATCCAGTATGGTAGTAAACAATTTACACAAGCAGCATACTACACGCTTTGCAGACTTTGCCCCATGTCTTTTCTCAAAGTTAGCGAACAACGGAATATGTGAACTAGGGAAACAAGGGATACAAATAGCAACCCTAAAAGTGTTGTACTCCCTAGAGTGCTACTCACTGTAGCCTAAGAACCTATAATAACATTTAACACACCCCCACAGGCTAAGTGAGGAGCATCAAAGCAAGCAGGGTGAACAAACGGTCACAAGACCAGTCAATGCAAGAAGCAAAGCAAGCTCAGGGTGGATCTCAAGGACACCACACAAATTCCGAGCACAAGCAAGCGGCCACAAGGCCAGTTCAAGAGTTCAGTAGGATATATATAGCAAAGCACAACAAGCAGAGCAAACAGCAAGTCTACAGCAACCGAGGGCCTACCTCAACAAGCCCCAACTGCACACAGAACCTGTGGTGGTCACCAAGCGCCAGGGCCTTGGTGAAGACGTCTGCAGTGTTGGCCTCTGAGGCCACAAAGTCCAGGCGTGCCTGGCCGCGTCGCTGCAGCTCTCGCAGAAGGAAGTACCTCACGTCAATATGCTTAACTCTGCTCTCCAGTCGAGGCTCTCGACAGAGGAGGATCATGGCCTTGTTGTCAGCGTACAAGGTCGGTGCAGAGCGAGGCCGCTCACCAAGGTCGGCGAGCAAGAAGGTCAACCAGCGAAGCTCCTGTGCCGCCATGGCACCAGTGTAGATCTCTGCCTCTGCACTGGAAGTAGCCACAGACGACGACCGTGTAGACCTCCACGACACAGCACCAGCACCCAGACTGAAGCAGTAACCCTGAGTCGAGCGCTGAGTCTCCACGTCGTGAGCGTAGGAAGAGTCGCAGTGACCAGTCAACGCTACTGGCTGAGTCCCTCCAAGCACAAGCCCCATGCCTGATGTAGTCGCCAGGTACTTCGCCACCCTCACAGCAGCTGTCCAGTGGACAGGACGGTGTCTCCCAGTCGCAACGAAGCGAGAGAGGACGCTGAGGGGAAAGGCGAGGTCCGGCCGAGTACAAGTCATCAGGTACATGAGGCAGCCCACCAGCTCTGCGTAGGGACCACTGGACTCAAAAGGCTCGTTGGGAAAGGGGCCAGTGAGTCTGTGGTCAACAGCAAGAGGTGTGGGCTGTGTGGTGGAGAACTGGAAGTCGAACCGCCGAAGGACCTGCTGCACCATGTATGACTGAGTCAGTGTGATGGTGCGAGCGGCTCTGTCCCTGGTGATCTGCAGGCCAAGGTAGCACTGTAGTTCACCTAGGTCAGTGCACGTGTGTCTCTTCTGCAGTTCGGACTTCACCTGAGCCAGAGCTGCCCTGTCTGCTGTGGCAAAGACCAAGTCGTCGACGTACACTAGTATAAAGAAAGGAGTGGAACCAGTGCGAACAAACAGCGACGGGTCGGCAGAGGAAGGACAAAACCCAAGGTCACGAAGCGTGGAGCGAAGAGTGTCGTGCCACTCACGGGGCGACTGGCGGAGACCGTAGACTGGCCGTCTCAGGCTCCACTGGGTCCCAGGTGGGAAGGTGTCAGTGAAGCCAGGAGGGCGGCGCAGCCAGATCTCCTCGTGTAGTCTTCCCTGGAGAAACGCAGTAGAGAAGTCAAGGGAGTGCAGCTCGTAGTATCGCTGTGCTGCTACGTGCAGCACCCCCAGAACCAGCACCTCCAGGACCAGCACCCCCAAAACCAGCACCTCCTGTGCCAGCACCTCCAGCTCCAGCACCCCCAGAACTAGTACCACCAGTGCCAGGACCTCCAACTCCAGCACCCCCAGAACGAGCACCTCCAGTGCCAGCACCTCCAGCTCCAGCACCCCCAGAGCTAGCGCCACCTGCGCCAGCACCTCCAGCTCCAGCACCCCCTGGGCTAGCGCCACCTGCGCCAGCACCTCCAACTCCAGCACCCCTCAGACGAGCACCCCCGGACCGAGTACCGCCAGTGGCTGCACCTCCAGCTCCAACACCAACCGAGTCCACAGTAGCTTGTCGCGGAAGTACCGAAGGCTGCTGAGGGGACTGTGAGGAGGACTACGGGGAGGGAGACGCTACCTGACGTGCGACCGAGGGTAGAGGGGTAGCGTGAGACACACCTGACGGGGCAGGACCAGGGGGGGGTGGGGGTACCGGAGGAGCGGGAGCAGGGGGAAGAGAGGGTGCGATAAAAAAGGGGGGGGAGGGGGAACCAGGAGACCTCGACAGGGGTACCGGGTGTAGTAGGACACTGACTCGTCGAACCGGACGTCACGGGAGTCTAGGAACTGGTGGAGGGGCGGGTGGTAAAAGGACCAGTCGGCCGAGGCTACTGGGAAACCAAGGAAGACACAGGGGACGGCGCGAGCTGAGAGCTTGTCCGCAGAGGTGTCGCGGACAAGCGCAAGGCAACCCCGGACACGAAAAACTGACCCAACACCAGGGGACCCGGTCCAAAGATTGGTCGGTGAAGCCTCTAGCCGCGAGACGCGCGGCTGGAGGTTCAGCTGGTGAGCGGCGTAGCGAACCGCGTAGGGCCACAGAAAATGGGGCGCGCGGGCATGAATCATGGACGTGCAGGCGATGTCCATGACCAAGTCAATGCGGCGCTCAGCAACCCCATTCTGCTGTGGGGACTCCGGCAGCGTCCAGGACTGTACGATGCCCTGCTCGCCGCAGAATCCGGCAAGAATGCCTGAGCGAAACTCACCCCCACGGTCAGAGTGGAGACAGGAGACACGACGACCACGAGTGCCCTCAGTGGCTAGAAGCCACCGGATCAGCGTAGAAGTCACCTCGGACTTCTTCGCGAGTGGAAACACTGTGGTGTACCTGGAGAAGTCGTCGACGACCACTAGAAAGTAGCACTCCCTCTCAGGTCCCTGCGTAGGTGCAGGGCCCCAGACATCCAAGTGGAGTGTCTGGAAGGGAGCAGTGGCCGGACGAAGGGAGGAGGAGTGCGGAGTGGCACGAAGACGGACGGCGACGCAAGGAGTGCACGGCGGCGCAGGCGAGGGAGGGAGCGACGGGAAGACGCGAGGGGGACCTGAGACAAGACGGTGACTAGCCATAGTGCGGAGGCGGGGGATCGACGCGTGGCCAAGACGGTGGTGCCACAAGACGGTCCGGTGGGTGAAAGACCGACACGAGCAAGACGCAGCAACTAGACCGGACACAGCAACCTGACCGGACACAGCAACCTGACCGGACTCTGCTACCGGGGGGGACGAAGCAACCTGACCAGACGCAGCTACCTGCGGGGGCGGAGTGTGCAGGACGAAGAGACCTGAGTGGGGCTCTCTGGTGAACGTGGCAAGAACTGCCCCGGTGGAAGAGTCCGTACAAATCGCAGTCCTCCCGTGCGCAGGAAAAGTGACTGTGATCCCCCGGTCCTGAAGGTATCCAACACCCACCAAGTTCCGAGAGAACGAGGGGATGTAGAGACCAGTGAGGAAACCAGAGGGGACAGCTGGGCACGGGAGGGTGGTCGAGCTGCGAGCAACTGCTGGTCCTAAAGTAGGATCAGCCAGGGCAACTGGGACTGGAGCCGAAAGAGGTGTGACAGTGGTGTGGTCGCGGAAGAAGCACTGAGACGCGCCGAAGTCCAGCGTGAAGGAGAGCGACGCAACAGCAGTCGTCACGGCCGGGCTAGTGACTACACAAGCACCTACACTAAAAGCACAAGTACCGACACTAGCAACAGGCAAAGGTCCTAAGCTAGGTTCACGTAAACCAAGAGATCCGTACGTGACAGAATAAACAGCATCCATAGACATATCAAACATAGGGTAACCACTACGAAACAGACCGGGCCAGATCGGGGGAGCCGACTCAGGCCCAAAACGCTCACGGTAAAGGTCGTCGAGGCGGCTGTAGCAGCGTTGTGCAGAGTGGTCAGGACGCCAGCAGGTAGTGCCAGCACCAGGGCCGGTCAGGATCCGGTACTGGCAGGGGCCGACGTCGCGGCCACCGCGACGAGCCCCCCAGCTGGCTGGGCCGCTGCTGCAGCCAACGCGACCTGAACCACCAGGCCCCCACGGCTGCTGAGGGCGCCACAGCTGCTGAGGGCGCCACAGCTGCTGAGGGCGCCCCTGCTGCTGCGGAAGCCACTGCTGAAACGGCCGCTGCTGCTGTCCCTGCTGCCGGAGAACCCTAGTGGACTCCATGATAAAAGCTAGCGGGGTGCAGGAGCGGCAGGCTAGGAGCGACAGGAGCTAGGG